AGAGTACTTGGCAATACTCTGATGAAGAGTACTTGGCAATACTCGAAACAGCGTTGTAAGTCAGCCAAATTTCAATAAATTAAAAAATAAAAAATTTTTGTCTTTGTCCTTTCTTTGCTATTCGAATCGGTCTAAATCCAAATATTTTAATATTTTTTTAAGCATTTTAAGCACAGTCTGTGTAATGCTCACAAATATATTTTACTGATACATTCAAAATGCATGACAAACCGTCTGTAGTGATTTTAAGAAATCAGGCTTTAAACGTCCCTCACATTTCTTATATTAATGGTAACAAATATTTATTTTTGTACTATTTACAAAAAATGGAAGACGTAATTACTGAATTAGTTTAATAAATAAACTAAGTCTATTTCTTCAATAAATGTTTTTTTTATTTCTTTCCGATTACTTTTTATTTTTATGTGATGTGATGAACATTTGAAAAAATTGCTTATTTATCGAAATTTAAATAAATTTGTGTTGCTTATATATATTAATAAAGGTTCATGAATCCTTTTATTATATTGACTGTAATAACATTTGCATATCATATACTAATTTGTACAAAATTTATAATTATTTATTATATATTGTAATGTGATACTCTTTGTGGTGTTTTACCGTAACAATTCACAATAATTGAACCTTCATTGAAGCTGAATTCTATATAACCCACACGTCATTACTAGAGTAACGCCATCTTACCGCGTCGTTTAGCTGTCAAAGTGTGTTCAAAATAACTGAACTAAAGCGATTCAAGCACGCATTTATGTGGAAACTGTTAGTTGCGTAGCGAATGTATTGTGAAAGTTAAAACAAAAGAACTTTAAAAAAGATCAAAATGAAAACATGGTTAGTAACAATTTATAAAATTATTAATATATTATGTAAAGTTTCTTGTGTTTAATATTACAGCACAGCGCGTACACCACTACGGTGCATTCCGAAAACCCCAAGGAGTCGCGCACAACAAACGGAACATATGGTAAACTCTGCGAATAAAATTAAAGATCCTGTAAATGTGTTTTGTAGAGTGCGTCCACTACAATCAAGTGCGGATCTATCAAGTATTCGTGTTAAAAATAGTACGACCGTTGTATTAACACCGCCTGACCAAATATTGCACAAACAAGGAGCGCAGCGTGAAATGCAATACATATTTAAGCATGTATTCGAACCAGAAGCCAATCAAAATGACGTTTTTGCTGCAGTTGCACAGCCGTTAGTGGAGAATTTAATTAAAGGGCGGAATAGTTTATTATTTACTTACGGCGTTACAGGCAGTGGAAAGACATATACAATGACTGGCGACTCACGCCACCGTGGTGTTATGCCACGTTGTCTTGACACGCTATTTAAAACTATAGCAGATTATCAAACTAAAAAATATATTTTTAAGCCAGATCGTTTAAATGGTTTTGAAATTTTGTCGGAGGCAGATGCGCTACTCGAACGTCAAGCTGAAATGAATAAACGATTTGCCAGTAATCGTGGTGGCATACGTCGTAAAGATTCAGACCCTGAAATTGCATCGCAAGCATCGTGTGACGTGCCTCCCATACAAGGAATCGATGAAGACAATATGTATTCAATATTTATAACATACGTAGAAATATATAATAATAGCGTGTACGATTTGTTGGAAGAGGGTGGCATTCAAAAGTAAGTTAAAATATCAGTATTGTATGTAATATTCTCTTAAATGTTTATTTTAAATTAAGGACTTTGCAATGCAAAATTATTCGAGAGGACTCTAATAGTAATATGTATGTACATGGAGTTACTGAAATAGAAATCAAATCTGTCGAAGAAGCTTTGGAGGCATTTCATACAGGACAAAAACGTAAACGAATGGGTCACACAATACTTAACGCTGAGTCGAGCCGAAGTCATTCAGTATTTAATATACGTTTGGTACAAGCCCCGACAGATTTTCAGGGTGAAAATGTTGTACAAGACAAACGTATAATAACAATTAGTCAGCTATCATTAGTCGATTTAGCAGGTAGCGAACGATGCTCAAGAACTAAAAACACAGGTGTGCGTTTACGAGAAGCCGGTAACATCAATAATTCTCTAATGACATTACGTACATGTCTGGAATATTTAAGAGAGAATCAGTTGAGTGCAACTGGAGTACCAGTTAAAAAGATCCCATACAGAGATTCAAAAATAACCCATATGTTTAAAAATTATTTTGCTGGTGAAGGGTTAGTCTCAATGATTGTGTGTGTGAATCCGCGGGCGGAAGATTATGATGAAAATATGGTAAACTTAAAATTTAATCATAAATGTTTTTTGATTTTAGTTTGTTCATTTTTTTTAAAGCAAGTAATGAAATTCGCTGAAATGACACAAGAGGTTCAAATAGCTCGAGCCACTCCTATTAAACCAGAACTAGGTTTTGCACCTGGTCGTAGAAATGCAAATAAGTTATATAAAATTGCTGTAAATAACCTTAATGATTTGGGCAATACTGAAGCTAAAAAGTTGGATGTCGATATTGGTCTTGTCTATACTCTTGGACCTGGATTTCCAAACTATAAGATTGACAGCCCAGAAGGTGATGCAGCTATACAAGAGTTAATGGAATATCTATTACAAAGAATAGAAAAACGTAAAATACTTAGCAGTGATTTAGAAAATAGATGTAAGTTATTTAATTATATTGTTAACTAAAAATAGATGTTAAGAATATTTTATTTTTAGGTGACAATTTCCGCTTGCATTTAATGCAAGTTGAGAAAGAAAATTTGTCATTGCAAACAGAATTAGCTTCTATAAAAGCAGCTTATAAACAGGAACGTGAACGTAATTTAGCGTTAGAGAATAAAATTAGAGTACACGAAAGTTCAATTGATGTACTAAATAATAAAGTTAGTAAACGTGAAAGACAAATTGATGATTTAACTCGAAAATTAAATGAACAACATAATTTGTTGACACAAAAAGATAAAGAACAACAAAAACAGAAAAAAAAATTTGAATCGAAGCTGGCCGTTGAAGGTGATAAAAAGGATCGTGAGCTTGAAATAAAATTAAGGGAACAGAGAACTAAACTGCAAGAAAAAATGCGTTTAAAGGATGAAAAATTGCGACTGGTATCTAATATTATACAGTCTGAAAATATAGCCAGCTTGGTTCGCTCTAATAGTTCCGAAAACTTATTCGAAGCGAAAACACCGTCCACAATGCAAGCATCAGCACCTGTTGATTCCGTTCAAGTAACTACAACGCGCACTGATACGTATTATACACCCAGACATGTTCGGGTAAATATTTACCGAATGCATTAAGGGGGGTATACTAATTGGTTTCTATATTTTAGGGTGCAGCTGCTGCTAATAGTCGTCATCGACGTTCAAGATCTACTGGCGAACGATGGATTGAGCATCGCGCACCTAATCCTGTACCGTTAGGTACAATTTTGCAACCTTATCTCAAAAATCGTAAATCAATTACAAAATTAGCTGAAATGAAAGATCTTACTAGTCATAAAGCGACCAAATATTGCCTTGTCTCACAGGAGGCAGACACAGATGGTGATGTTGAGACAAAACTCTACAAGGGGAATGTTATACCCACATGTGGAGGTGGTGCACAAGTTATATTTGATGACGTTGAGTGTCTGAAACAAAAATCACCAGTACATTCGCCCAATAGAAAACGTCCAAGTACTGGTGAAATAGTTTTCAGTCCAGGTGGCACATCTGCAGTATCAGGTGTTATAAGTACTAATTCTGTAAATGATGTTAACTCTCGTTGCATTATTGGTATTGAAGGGCATAATAATAAACGCTCTAAAATGTAGTTTCTATAAGTAATATAATATTTGGTTTGAATAACTTCATTTATTTTTTATTTGAATTTTTTTTTGTTATTGACATTTTTATTCATCACACTATATACTCGTATATTAGTTTTTACTAAATTAATAAATATTTTTTTTTTCATTTATGAACCTAATTTTTTAAAATTTAACATGTAAAATACAACCAGTTTTGATATTATCATTAAATTTACTTATTTTATTTGACATTAACATCTTCAAAGAGTATATTTTGTTGTATACATTTTGAAGGGTTTTCTAAAATGCGGAAAAACACTTACGGCGAGTGCTTTTTGCTAAGCACCAGAGTTTCGAATCCAAAAGCGAAATGTATTGTAAGGATTCTCAACTTAAAGAACATTAACAGGCGGTAGGCTTAGTTTGATTTAGGCAGTTCAGCAAAAAAACAGTAATATGCGTCTGTCTATATTTGACAATACCTCGCGGGAAAAGGGAGAGAATGTATTCCTGTCGTAAGAAGCGACTGAAATCCAATGTCCAATGAAATTGACATTGGAGTGTAAATGGTAGTTGTAGGTGGGTCTAACTTGCGGCTCCCAACCGGAAGTGTGAATCTGGTACCACGGGATCCAGGTATCCACAACAATATTGTAGTCCTAAACATTTGGGTTGACTCCTTAAAGGAAGTGTCGGGCGCCGTGACTCAAAGATCAGCAGAGGCGTTAGAGAGTAGAATCGAAGCAGTAAAAGTGATATTTTTGGAACTTGATGATATTATTGAAATCGTGTATGACCTAATAAATAAATCTGATGATTCTGAAACTAAGCGATTACAAAGCAATTGCTAACTGTCAAGTTTATTGTTGCACTACACGTCTGGTACAATATTTTACGAGTGAACAATATAAATAAACTATGGCAATCGACTGAACTAAACTTGAACATCGCTATTGGCAGCCTATGCTCTTTTCGCAACTAGATAAAAGACTATCGTAATGTTGAACTTGAAAAAAGCGTTGAACCATCCAATCCTTTGTAGAATAAAGTAGTTACAAGATTGAACCTAGATTTAAAGAAAAAAATATAGCAAAGAAAAACGATTGTTCAGTTATGAACATATTGATGAACCCATACAATCCGTTGAAAACTAGAATAAAGTAAACTTTTTTACCACAATGATAGATGCTATCGTAATTGATACCAACTGTCGATTCAAAGCATTTAAAGGATATTTTGAACAACTTGGTTTCATATATGACATTAATCATATGAAAAGTTTACCAAACGAATACTTTTACTTTATAAGTTTACTTCTCAAGCATTGTAATGCTTAAGGTTTAATACTTCGGGAAAATTATGATATAATTATAAAAAAAATTCAGTGAAACTAAAAGTAGGAAAATTCATTTATTTTAATTTGTGTTAATTTTAATTTGATCAGCAATAAAACTTTTATACGTACTTCGTCGTATTAGGGAGTGTAAATTATTCACTTTTATAATTTGGTGATGAAAGTGATCTCACAATTTTGATGTCGCCGACGTCCAGAGTTGGTCTAGCTCCACATCTGATTATATTAAAATATTAATTAATACTAATTATAATAATTATTATGTTGAACCTTTTCCGAGTTAGTGCATCTGGGCACTTTTACTCTTTGATACCTTGGGGATTTCTGCAGACTCCCACCCATCTCACTTGAGTTCGGTTCCACCCATTAAAGTCCTTGAGTTCGGTCCAATTTACATCTAGGACGGTTCTTGACTGCTACACATCTCTAAACGAAATGTCGACGCAGCTCAATATTTCTCTAATCTGGGCTCCCGGCCATAGGGATATTTTCGGAAATTGCAAAGCAGACGAGTTAGCCAGAAAGGGTGCTTCAGAACCATACTCGGAGCACCTAGACTATCTGGGCATATCGCTAACATCATGTGAATTGTTATTGAGTTCTTTCTGCACTAATACTTTTAACAAAAGATGGGAAGACTCAACGATATGTAGACATCTGTATGCATCTGGCCACTTTCCGATAAAAGGAAATCGAAGACTCTAATTGAGATGTCCCGCAAGGACATTGGTCTTCTGGTAGGGTTGACTACAGGACACTGTAAACTAGGGAACCATGCTAGAAGACTAGGTCTTCTTTTCAATCGGGCAGGATCGGGCTTTAAATAGCATTTTATGCTTCGCAAAAGGTTCGAGGTGGTTTTAAACCCTTAGGTTTTTATTATTTATATACGGCATCACAATGGGCCAATAGGCCTAAGTGGATCTACTAGGGATCACCGGTATAACCTAACCTACCTAACCTAAGCATCGATATATAAAGAAGTAAGCTATATCGGCAAAATTGGATATAGATTAGACTATATATGGATAAACTCATTCCGCCCTATCGTGTTACAAAATTAAAAGTTAATATCCCACTAAAATTATACTTAAATTGCTTCATAAAAAATCTATAAAAAACTTAAAATTTCTATGGAAAAAAATAATGTACGCTATTAAATAATGTATTTAATATTTAATTGAAAGTAATTCACATATCAAGTGTAAAGTGGTCCGAAACATTTTAAGGAGAAGCTTTAATCCCAAACCATCTTCCCAAAAACCGTCATTGGTTTAATATATTTATTCGTTAAAATAAATATATAAACAAACAAATATATGTGTATATAATACATCTGCAGTTTTAACAAGACCACAAAATAAGAAAAAGACTTCTATTTAATATATTTCCGAATATATATATTTTTATTGTGTTTATATTGTTATATAAATTAAAATTTATTCTGATTTGTTATTACTTGCATATTAATATGTATGTTTTTATATTGTGTTAATTATTTATAAATTTCGTGTCATATATATTATAATTTAATTTTAGTTTAAATATTTTTTGTAATAATATGCATATTAGACAACAACGAACAAAATACTTTGCTGCGTTGCCAACTATTATTCTTAAACTGACAATATTTATGCGTATAATTAAAATATAGATTAGTTACTAATAAATCAGTCTATAATTAAAATTTAATATATGCTTACTTTGTTTTGTATCTGTTATTTTGTTTTTAATTTTTGTTTGTTTTTACAATAGTACACATACACACAAGACTGCTTTTATAATTTGTTTATTAAAACATTAAATCTTTCTAATGCATGTATTGGGCATAATCATGTCTTTTTTTTCATATATTTACTTTTGCCTGACTGAAAGCTATTGCGGACTAAAAACTATTCGATACGAATATGTTGTTCTGTATATATATATATATATTAAAGTTATTTCTAATAATTTGGTGTTGCCGGTTTGTTGCATTATTTGTTCGTTTTATATTTATGTGTATATAGATATCTATATCAGTATCGTCTCTTTACATATTTTTTACATTAACTAATGTGTGATTATTTTTATTTGTGGCAATTTCTGTGGCAAATTATAATTACTCATACAAATATAATATAGTTATGAATAAAAATGTATTAACTATTATTTTAACAAATGTAGGACGCGATTAAAAATGTGTACTTTTAGTTTAAAAAATAAAACTTAATTTGGAAAAATTCTTGGTACATTGATAATATATAATTTTAAAATAACACAAACAAGAATTATTAAAACATATATAAACAATATTCATACGGGTGAAACTTTCACTTTCAAACATATTTTTAAAGTTACTCTCACAAACTATATCAAACAGAAATACCAATAAACAAAACACTACAAAATATCACTAAATTAGAAAGTAATTAACAGTTAATATAATGTTCAAAAATAGACATTTGAAAATGGAAAAATCATTTCAAAATATGGTAACAGTAAACAATTTTTGTTAAAATACAATATAAAGCTTTCATTGAGACATGATGTAGTTCTCTAATTTTTTTTTTTTTGTTTTTTTTTTTAATTTAATTAAACAATTTTTATTTCACGTAGGTTTAAAAAACAAAATCAAAATTAAACCAAATCTAATTTATAATTAATTTTCCTACATTTTAAAACAAAATGTTACTAAAAAAATAATAATGTAAGATCAACAAGCGTAATATATACACTTAATGGTTTGAAAATCTTCATTTTAACAATATGGATCAACGTAAACATTTTGTAAATTTAATCCAGTTTGTTTTAAATTTATTACATTTTTCTAGGCGTTGCAAAAATAAAAAGCATAATTACAAGGATCGAATTGATTTTGATCTAATTTGGTATGCTTCATCAAGCAGTACGTACCATTTTAGGCACACAATTTAACCTTTTAATTTAATAACATTCTTCAATGAAGAAAAAAATAACTATGTTAGATAGGGATGGTTCGATTTGGAAGATACATTATTAAACACACACTTATTTTAAACGCGTTCTTTAGAGGTGGCATTTCAATCAAATTAATTTTTTCTAAATTTTTTTTCTATGAACACTTTACACAGGCCCCCTCAACATCAAAATCCAAAACCATTAATTTTGTTTCCTCAGTTCCATTACGTGATCCAACTGCACACACTAACTTTGTATCATTTGCCCTGAAAATAATGATAAAAAAAAAACAAATTTGATTTACTAAAACTCTTTTAAAAAAACAAATTAAATTGTACCTTATTCTCCATACAACTCCGCCAGAACCACCTGAATCCAGTGCTACTAAATTGCGTATAAAATCTCCAGTTTTAACATCCCACAATTTAACGGTCCCATCATCAGAGCTGGTCACAACAAATCGAGAATTCGATTGCAAACACGTCACAGCTGATTGATGTTTATTTGGACCTGTAATAATAAAACAATTAATAAATTTTTATTTCAAAAAAAAGTATTTTTATATATCAAAATTTATTGCAAAAAACTAAATTATTTAAATTATTTATTTATATATGTACCTAAATATAATTGTTAATTGTAAAATGAACTGATTGGTTAGTTAATTAAAACAATAAGTCAACGATATTCTAATTAAATATTAAATTATTTTAAACATTATAATTAAAATAAAATGCTAAAAATTATAACTTCTCGATCGAAATTTTTTATATATTTTTTTAATTCCCCGATGATGACTATCGAAGACAATCGAAATATCAGAAATT